CTCATCAGCTTTCACACCTAAACATGGCCCGCATCAGCCTCCGGTCCGGTCTCGACCGTGACGTATACCAGATTGTAAAAAAGCTGGAGGACGAGAGGGAAGGAGAGTGGCAGGCGAAGAAGAGCAAGGACAGGGACGGCGGCGCCAAGAGAAAGAGACCGCCACGGTTGACAGTAACGGCGATATACGAGTCGATTAAAAAGTCGAATTCAAGTCTGAGCCGACAGAAGAGGAAGCCACTAGAGGACGCGATTGAGAGGGTATTGGATTTCCGCAAGGAAGAAGAGGCCGAATCTGAGGACAGCGATGACTTGTTGGAGCAAGCTGAAGAATACAAAGTGAGTTTTACCTTCCGTCTCCTTCACTTGACGTTCCCTTTTTTTTTTCTGACACCACCTCCCTTTTCACAGCCGGAAGATCGATTTCTTCTCAACCGACAAATGACGAAGCACTGGAACGTCGCTCCGGCGGTGCCCACTGCCCAGGGGTCAGACGGCAAAAGCACCAAGAAACGCCGCATCTCACCTGAGCCCGAGGCTGCTAACGGAAACGGCAACAGCAACGGCACTGGCACCGGTAATGTCAGCGACGCCTCCGCCATCGTCACCAAGCCGTCAAAGTCCAAGACGGGCGACGCGTCAGAGACCACTCAGGCGGCCGTCACGAAGAAGGCGCTCAAGGCGGCCAAGTACGGCCCCGAGCAGATCCCTCCGGGCTCGGTCGTTCTCGGCGGCGTGCGTGGCATCATCGAGGAGCTGCAGCGGTACGTCTTTGCGCGCGCGCGGAAGCCGGAGGATTTCGCATGCTTTGGAGAGCAGCCGATGGGAATCCTCATCTCGGGACCCCCGGGCACGGGCAAGCAGTCCCTCGTGCGGTCGCTTTCGTGGAGGACGAGAACGCCGGTTATCTCTATCGGGCGATATCTGAGCGAGACGCGGTCGCCTGAGAAAGTGAGCAAAATTTTCACCGACGTGCTGGACGAGGCGAAGAAGATTGCGCCGTGCGTCGTCCTGTTCGACCACCTGGACGAGTACATGGTCAAGTCAGGCAACAGCCACAGCGAGTTTGACCACGAGGTCATTTCACAGCTCAAGCTCGGCCTCCGGCGCTTGCGGGACTGGGAGCGCGAGGGGCAACGGGTGGTGATCGTGGGTACGACGAGCAAGCTCGAGCTCGTCGACCCGACGCTGCGGAGACCAGACTACTTTGCGCAGACCATCACGGTCAAGGTGCCCAACACGGACGCCCGAGAGGAGATCTTCAAAGCCCTGACGAGAGAGCTCGACATACCCTCCGAAGTCGACTTCCAGGCCCTCGCGGTCCGCACGCACGGCTTCGTCGGAGACGACATCCGCGCTGTGATCCAGGTCGCCAACCGCAAGGCCAGCGACCGCTTCATGGACGTAGAAGAGGCGCGCGCCAGAAACACCATCCAGGCCGAGAGGATGGATACCGAGACCTCCTTCTCGGACGCGGACAATGCCGCCCGCGACCTCGACGACGCCTGCCTGTGGTACGACTACATCGAGCACCCATCCTACACGGCCCCGACGCGCGTCCACGTAAGCCAGCAGGACTTTGTCGACGCCATCGCCGAGCACACCCCTTACATGCGCCGCGAAGGCTTCAGCTCCATCCCCAGCACCTCTTGGTCCGAAGTCGGCGCCCTGCACTCCGTCCGCGCCGCCTTCCAGGTCTCCATCGTTCGTCGCATCAAGGAACCCCTACTCTTCCAGAAATTCGGCAAGCAGCGGCCCGCGGGCGTGCTCCTCTTCGGCCCTCCCGGCTGCGGCAAGACGCTCGTCGCAAAGGCCGTCGCCAACGACGCGCAGGCGAGCTTCATCCTCATCAAGGGCCCCGAGCTGCTCAACAAGTACGTGGGCGAGTCGGAGCGCGCGATCCGCGAGCTGTTCACGAGGGCGAAATCCTGCGCGCCGTGCATCCTCTTCTTTGACGAGATGGACTCGCTCGTGCCCAAGCGCGAGAACACCACCACCGAGGCGGGCGCCCGCGTCGTCAACGCGCTGCTCGCGGAGCTCGACGGCGCCGGGGATAGGGGTGAGGTCTACGTTATCGGCACGAGTAACCGACCCGACATGATTGACCCGGCCATCCTGCGCCCCGGACGTCTTGATAAGCTGCTGTTTGTGGATTTGCCTACCGAGGACGAGCGCGTCGATATCCTGAGGACGATTGTGCGCAACGGCATCGGGGGCGGCGTGCAGCCAGAAGGCCAGGGGGACGGTGGTAACGAGGTCGTGAACGTTGAGGCGATTGCGCGGGATAAGCGGTGTGCCGGTTTTAGTGGTGCGGATCTGTACGGCCTGTATAAGAATGCGCTGGACGAGTGCGTTTTGCGGTACGAGGGCGGAGAGCCGGCGTTGATCAAGAGCGATTGGGAGGCTGCGCTGAGCAAGACGAAGCCGAGTGTGCCGAACCCGGAGACGTATAGGAGGTTGGCGAACAAGTTGCATCATCAGACGTGAGGAAGGGCGAGGACGGGTTTAGAGGTGGACTTTTAGAGGAAGGAAAGTTGACTGATAGAGAAAAGTTGAGTTTGTCTTTTCGTTGCTGCATTTGTTATTGGGGGGTTCTGGTGTCTCTTAGAGAGCAATTGGGCTCATATCATGGGTCCTCATCCATATGGTTAGGTACTTTAGGTACTGAAGGAAGCTGAGTAAAAGTAACGACTGTAAAGATCCATCTGAAAAACTTGTTCAAGCTACGTACACTTCGTGTGGATGAGCGAACCGCCAAACCTTTCCCTACCTAGTACTTTACTTGTCTTCGTCTTGGCGGTTCTTCAAACAATACAGTACAATCGACGTGGACGAGAACTTCGGATTATCTCCAGATCACCATCTTACCGTGCCATGAAACAAAGAAACGTAGTAGCCACTGTGGGAGGCATCAAGGCGGGAAAGCAGCCAACACTGTCACTGGACGCGTGGGAAATATTACCGCTGGATCCAGAATTCGCCTCACCTACGCTCCTATTCAAGAACACCAAACACGTTAACAAAAAGTGATACCATAAGATACATACTAAATCAATGACCCTATTACAGTCAAAACAAAAGTGACAGTAAAAATGAGCTGCCTGTGGCATTATGTAGGACCACCAATTTTATGTGAGTACAAATGTACTCGAATTTGCAACCCTTGCGGGACCCATGACGCTTTTGACTATTCCACCACTAGGTCATGGACACATCAGACGCTTCTCATGCTCTTGCTCGAAGTCTTTTTCGCCTATGGACCTCTGAGGCTGGCGAGGAAGTTGTGATGGTAGATGTGCCTGCTTATTCTGTCTGGGAAGGCTGCTGGTCGGCCCTTGCCCTCTGAATACGTTCAAACGTTGCGGAACTAAGAGTGAGACAACATTCATTCATTGTCTACCTATTCAATGTCTTGAATATATTTACATGAGGTAAAGTAAGTTAAGTCTTTATCGGCTGATTCTAGCTAGTCGCCGGGGACTCGGTCGATATACTTTCATAACCCTAAGACAGGGGATGAACCTCGAGAGCATAATAGTAGTCACTGGTGAAGACGTACATCGTAAAAGTCTAGAGAAATTAGTCAGGGAGTAATGATTTGGGTTTGTATGGCTAACTTGTATAGCCGGCAGGGATGGGTATCGTGAACAGTACCTAGGTAGAGAATGGGGACAAAACAGAAAAAAAGTCAACAAACAATGGACCGATCGAAGGATCGAACATGGACCCCGAAATAAACCGGAAACTTCACGGTTCAACCGGGGCCTCTACAGCTCAGAACTTCTCGACCATACGGCCCATTGCTTGTTGGTGATATCTAGAGATGATTCACTTCTCATAAGGGGCTGGAGCGGCCAACGGGGGAAGCCTCAGGCACAGGTTTCTGCCTCGATGCCAGGCAGGATGCAAGATGGGCTTCATGAAGCGGTCTATATAATCTAGGTAGGTTTTGATCCAGTGACCTAGAGTATTGGAAAGCCAATGTTGGAAACGTTCTTCGGGACTTAAGGGGGTGTATAAAAAAAAAGACAATTTTGACGATAGCTTCAATTGCACGTTGTTTCATGGTCACCCATCGACCAAATATTCTATGGAATTTTTAGTCCATATCAAAGCTGCATTCGTTCTCCTTTCTCTCCCGACTCCAAGTCGTCAGCGATGATCTATACGAGGCAGACGGACGTATTGGGATTTCAAGATTGGGCAGACATACACACCACATTCAGACGTACAGACCGTCCGGGAAACACTTGGCAAACCAAACGTTTCCAAGCAGGAGAAAGTGATTTTGACCATCTTTTGGCCTGTTCGTATATTGTGTTACTACATCATCTCGGACTTGCCATCTGGTTGCAAGCCTACTAATAGAATAGCTATAGCAAGAATCAGGGGCTGAGCGCACATTGAGTGTCAATCGCATCCCCAACACTGCTTTATGCCTGAGCCATTTATCTCATCTCAGACCTCGACCTTTAAAGGTTCAACTGTACAACAAGATGGTAGTCCAACTCAAGAGTCGGGGAAAGTCCTCCTGCGGACGACGACGATCGTGTGATTGGGTCCAAACACACTGACCACTGAGAGTGGAGAAGTGACAGTCGTCGACACCGGTCGGGGGCATGCAGAAGATTATACTTTTCCTGATGCTTGCAGAACGACTGCTTGAGCCGCAACATCGATGACGGGACCTTGAAAAGCCGCTATTTTGGAACAATTGACCGACCTTTTCCCGTTGCATCCCGTAACACGTTCCTGACATTCATGATTCGGTGACAGGACGGGACCTATGACGAGGTGCCAGGATGACAACGCAGAGCGAGTCATCTGACTGGCTGAAGGGGACAGAGTGGCCGCACTACTGCACTGCCTGAGTAAGCAGGTTTTCTTCTTTTTTTTTTGGCCCCGGTCAGCTCCGGGTCACAAGGCGCGCCAAATCTGACATCATGGACACGGTAATGATTTGCAGGTACGGATGCTACAGGAACAATCAAGAATGGAACGCGCATGTGTATGTTGCGTTTGTTTCGCAAAATGAAATTTGTTGTATTACAACCGTCTTTGAAAGGGGAGAATTTTCGAGAGAAAATGGGCTTGTTCAGTGAAGCCCCCAAAACACACTGTTCTAGAGTGGTCTATTGGTACAAAACGCAAATCGCCAGTTCGTCTAATGCAATCCTATCGTTACACATCAATCCGTCTATTTGGTGACATCCTTGAGGTAGCTGTTGTCATGGTTAGCGAGTGAGTCTTGAGTGAGATGTTGAGTGACAGTGAAAACGTACGCAATGAGGTCGTTGCGGTCCTTCTCCTTCTTGAGACCACCGAACGCCATCTTGGTGCCGGGAATGTACTTCTTGGGGTTCTCGAGGTACTCGAACTGTGCGCAGGATCGTGATTAGCAGAGCAACGAGATTGAACGTCGTCGGAAGAGCTTACGAGAGTCTGGTCGTTCCACTCGATGCCCTTCTTCTTGTTGGCGTCGGTGTAGGAGTAGCCCTCGACGGAACCGGTCTTGCGGCCCCAAAGGCCGTGCAGAGCAGGGCCGATCTTGTTGCCGCCGTCGGCCTCGACGGTGTGGCACTGAGCGCAACGGGTCTTGAAGAGGTTGGCACCCTTCTTAGCGTCACCTAGATTCCTCGAGGTCAGTTCACTGGTCTAGGTCGGTGATGTGTCTTCCGCGGCATTTCGCTGTTCAGTTGGATTGAGTCCCGATGAGAGCCCGACCGCCCGTCGTGAGCGTTCGTGGTGGCGTATAGACTGCTTCACCGCCCCTGTAGGCGCCTCCTTGTCTCTCGCTCTTCGGGCCCCTGTTTTTTACCCCATCAAGCGAGATGCCAGGAAATTGGCGCAAGATGTCGGAGGTGCTAGGAGAAACGAATCGCAGAGGATGAAGGTGTCGCACGGGGTGAAATCGAAGCCGAATTGGCCCGCGAAGCAGTTCCGAACCGTTCCAGACTCAGCGAGGGTGATTTCGCTGCTCAATGGCTCGTGGCGGATTGAGGCGCTCGGAGGGTTGGGCAATCATCGGGGATCCGCAAAGCAAAGCGAAAACGGACGGAGAGGACGGCGCGCGCGCGTGAGGTGAGAGAGACTTACCACCAGCCATTTTGACGGATTATAGGATAATTAAAAGGATTTGAAAAGGGGTATCAGGTAGAAGGTGCAAAAGAAGAATGTCTTTTGCAGGTCGTCAAGTAGGTCGTTTGGGTTGTAGATGGTTGAGAATGAGGAATGGAGGAAGAAGGGGGAGAGAAAAACTTTTAGAATCGGATCGGACCAAGTAAAAAAAAGACGAGACGACAGTACGGCAAAAAAAGGCTATCCGATTTTAATTATGACAACAACCCGGCGGAAAGGCACCTGGCGACGTACCCAGCACACGCCGCAACGAGAGAAAAAAGCCTGGAATGAGCTCACTGAACCTGGGTACCGCGGCGCACAAGCCACACGGTGTGGCGACGCGACCGCCAATCAGATGTGCAGCATTGGTCAGAAGGTGATGCGTCCGGGGGTCGCTACCCGGGCAAAACCGGATACTGCTCCCGGAAGAACGCTTTCTCCGCTGCGCCTCGGTGTTTTGGTGACGGGACCAGCTCGCTTTTTGGCAGGAGTGCCAGGTCAACGACTCAACCAACGGGGCGGCGCGGCGGGCCAGCGGGGACCTTTGTCGGTGTCCCTGCCACTAGCATTTTTTTTGGTCTTTTATCTCTCACTTGGTCCTCTCAGGCTGTCGCCAACATCCCATTTGCCGAGCTTCGACTGGGATTCCCAAATCTGCCCATATCCGTGCTTTCTGGCCTCTTTCACCTCGGCGTCTGTTTGTTCCAGATCCCGAACTGTCAATCTTGCAGCCAATAATAGCTGTAGTGTTAATGCTGATGCTGCTACACACGAGACAGAGTAGCCGTATAGTCATCGCGATCGTTAATTGAAGTGAGCAAGGGTGATTTTTCGTATGGGTCAGGTACGTACCCGTGCATGCGCTCAGATGCGCGACGGGGGTAGTTCGGCGACCCTTTAGCTTCCAGCCCTCATCATAGGTACCTTACCTTACCTGAGCTCCACTGTAACTTCTTTGAGCAGAGAAATTCTTCTGGAGCTTCGATTTTTCCAGCCCCGACCGATCCTGCCGGCGCGCACCTGATGATCCCGTTGATCCATACCAGAGCCTCAATGACGCTGTGAAACAGACGCCTGACCCCCGAAAGTCTAAACCATCGCCGTCCAGGTGACCTACTTTGTTCCTTGACCGCCGTCCTTCGCAACGTCGGCAAACATCGGGCAAGGCAACGTTGTGAGGGTCCAGCACCATTTCTTTGCCGCCGCTGCTTTTATAGTGGCAAACCAACAACATCAATGACGACCTCGGCCACGACCCTCCTCCCCAGGTTCCTCCTCCCGGCCTTGAGCCCCATGTGGCGCGTAGCAGCGACCTCTACCGGCCGGCCGGCCGTAACGGGGGCCTCGGCGGCGCTCCGCCGGAACGCGGTGTGGACGATTCGGTACGCCTCGTCCAAGCCGACAAAGGCGGGCCAGAAGGGACCCCTCATCCTCGAGAAGCCAGCCAAGTTCAACCCGCCCTCCCACGGCGCCCGGCTGCCCAAGAACAATGGCCCGAAGCACTACGGCGGTCCGCTCAGTGGCCAGGAAGTCCGCGCCCAGCGCACGCGCGAGTATCCCGGCATGATGGCTCCCGAGGGGACGTGGGCGCATTGGTTCTTCAACAGCCGCAAAGTTCACCTCTTCATCTCACTGGTTAGTAGAACTCAGTGTTCCTCCATTGGCAGGAATACACACATGCGGGCCGTAGCCTGTTTGGATCAACGGGTTTAGCTAACATTGGATCTCCTAGGGAACACTCACGACGCTGGCCATCTCGACGTTGGTACTCAACTTTTCCCAGACATCCCCGTTCAAGCACCTCCTGCCCCCCGCCTCCGAGTTCTGGAGCAGCCCCATCCAGTTCATCCGCACATGGGTACATGTGATGCAGCTCCACGAGCGCGACCGTAACGAAAAGGCCATTGCCGCGCACTCGCGCCACACCGACGACGTCGCGAAGCGTCAGTACTACCGCAAGGTCCACGGACTGGACAAGGAGAACCCCATTGCCAACTTTTTGGGCATGAAGGAAGAGTCGGAGGAGGACAAGGCTGCGGCCGCTGCCGCGATGGAGGCCTCGCCCGTGGCTGGAGACGCCGAGGCGACGGCACCTGCAGAGAACGAGCAGAAGAAGAAGTGGCTTGGCATCTTCTAATTAAGATATGAGAAGAGGAGCTCATCTACGTGTAAGATGTGACGGGGGATGAGCACGCTATTTTTGTAATATACCCTCCACCGAACCATGTACAACATGACATTCCAAACCAGAACCACCAATTGGTATCATGACTTTTGTCTTTCCATTGCCCATCCTGACATGTCGCAAAACGCTAAAACCCCCCTCTTCAAGCCCAAGTTCCGGGATCGAACCCTTAGGCTAGCTCCACAGCGGCAATCGCCTCCAGCACCTCATCAGCGACGCCCCCCTTCTCCAGAACCTTGGAGATCATCCCCTCAATCACGTGTACCTTGGTACCTCCTATCGGCGGCTTCCAAACTCCCTCCGCGGCCTGTCCCTGCGCAGCCGCTGGGACCGTCGGTGCCTTTGACGGTGTGCCCGCAAGACCGGTAGCCGGATTCACAGAGTTGGGCACGCCGGGCGCCGTCAACCGCGAAGGCGGGTCGACCGTCCGCACGGAGAGCAGCTTCAGCTGGCGGCCGTCCACGTTCATTCCGCCAGTCGAGGCGGCTGTCTTCTCCTCGGCAACCGAGACCGCCAACGCCGACTCCGCGACGGCGAGCTCCTCGCGTGCGGGGTCGAAGATGACGTTGCCGCCGACGGCGATAATGAGCAGTGTTATGGGCGGGCGCGAGCCGCCGTTGACGGGCGCGCTGCCGTCGCGGGGGTACAGGAACGTCGAGGCCTGCCAGTCGTCGTCGAACATGGGGTCTTCGTCGCCCTCTGACTTGAGGCGCGGGAGGCGGGTTGCGAGAAGCGAGAGGTGGGTTGTGAGTGAGAGGAGGGGCAGCGGGTAGGATAGAGGCGGGGAGATGAGGAGGATCTGTTGGGATAGTGTGTTAGCGTCTAGTCTTTGAGGAGACAACGGTGTGTCTGTGTGTGTAGGGGGAGGAGATGGGGGACAAACGTCTAGGTAGAGCTTCCAGTGGAACCGACTGTTGATCCGTAGCTTCTTGGTGAACTCTCCGTCGGCGAGCAACGCTTCGCTGAGCATGTTGGCAAGGAAAACAGTCGCGGCGTCGTCCTCCCTGGAGGCCGGGATCTCGACCGTTATCTCGAGCCAGTCATTGTTGCCCTTGACCTCCTCCTTCTTTCCTGCGTCTTTCCTCGTCTCTGGAGCCTCCTCGCCGTCTACATCCGCGCCAACCGGGCTGGCCGTCTTCTCGATCTCCGCCTTGACGCCTACGATGGCCTCCGTGCCGTCGGAGAAGCAGATGCGCGCGCTGCCGTTGGTGCCGGGAAGGATGCCCGTCTCTGCGGTCAAGGGGCGGAACTGGTTTGCCTTGCGGCCGTCTGGGCGGATGGGCGGCGTGAGGGAGAGGGTCGAGTGGAGGTAGGCGAGCTCTGCCGGGGAGAGCAGAACCTGCTGAGCAGACGCCATTCTTTCTGTCTGTGTGGGTTTGTTCTTTTTTTTATTCTGATCGCAGGCTGGGTATAGTAATCGTGAAATTTCGTGTAGCTTCTGGTCGAGCTTTTGCAACAGCTCAATGTCTCGTTAATTGGTCGCGATTCCGGGAGGAAGCTCGAATTTTCGGGCGGGATGTGGTCGCAAAAGTTGGTAGGATTTGGGCTTTCTCCCGAGCAAAGTCAAAGGAAGCAGGGGTTTTTTGATGGTGGGGTCCGCGGGGTGTGGGGCCGGCCGGCGTGAGCTGTTCGGATCGGTGGTTGTGGCGCGAGCTGTGGCTTGAACGGACCTCCACGATAACGGCGGGTTGAGCTTCTCAAGTTCACGTTCTTATCTCCAGTATGTTCACATGAAAGAATTTATCCTCAAGTTATGATTGAGGAAACATCGGAGAGAAGTCAGCTTCTGAATACCGCTCAAGTGAGCACTTGGAGACGCGACCGCGAGGAAGGAATACCTGACACAAAGCATGCAGTTCTCACTCTTCAGCTTTACGGATGATCACCATATATCTTCTTGCCATAGTTTCTACTCTAACCTATCCTTGTACCGCGCTGCTTGGCCTGACTTCATGTTGTCATATCATCTTTGTCCACTAGGGTTGAGACGGGATTGCCAGTCTCAAAAGCATCTAACCGAACCTACGAGGATGGTTCTGATGTCTGGAGGCTAAGAACTCGTTCATGAAATCTCAAGAGCTTAGTTACATCTGGGTCTTCAGATATCACGTTTGCGTCAGATCTTCGAATAGTTCTGAAGACGTACTTGGCACTAGTCAGACACGGATTCATGGCGCTTGTCGAGCTCTTACTTCCACAATACGGTCACTCGGTCAAGGCTGCGAGAGCCATAGTAGGATAAAGCCAGTCAACATCTCCTATTCAGTTATAACTGTGCTCATGCCAGACTGTTCCGGGTCTGAATTCGGCTGTTGCCATGGTCATGGCATATCAGCATGGAAGGTCGCCCATATTAGACCACAGAGAACACACACACACACACACACACACCTCAAAAGAAGATAAACCTCGAGAATTGCCAACAATATTGGAGAAAGATCGTCCTATGCGAAGAAAGTGAGAAAGCAACAGAGTTCTATTCCTTACCCTTGCTACGGCCGTGCCTGCTATCCTATCTAAAATACTCATGAACATTTATTCACAATTGGCAGCCGACTCGGACAGAGCTTGAGAAGTATCAGCGACTAGCAGATCTGAGCTACCAAACGACAAATGATCTACTTCAAAGCAAAATATAGGAGTACACGTACGTTATGTGAACTTTACTGAATGATTTAGGGGGCTGTCACCACGGAATGCGATGCATTCTCTATACTAGGATTACGAGCCTGGATTTGAATCCGTTTTTACCTCGATTCACTTACGATGTCTGCAATATGCCAACGCTTCTCTATACTTAATTCTGTGTGAACGGCTAGTGACGCGCAGCTTTTTGCTCGTCAACATACGAGTAATATTTCTGACTCGTTGAATTGCTTTCCCTGTGATATCTTGATAATCAGATGTACCGGACCGAATATCACAGCTATGGAGAGAATGTCCACATGATCACATCTACTCCCAGAGAGGGATGGAACAGTTTCTCGACCGATGGAGGAGACCATAACCTGCAGCAGTCGAGTAATGAAACCACTGCAAGTGACTTTCAAGGACGTGATTGCCTCCATGTTATTTCTCCAATAGCGTGTATGATCAGAAGGATTGAATCTCTCTCAGTGGTACTAGTTTAACAGCACAACACCTCTCACGTTTGGGAATGTTCACTGGGGCTTACTTTTCTTCTCGTCAAGCCAAAGCTTTCCCACACTCTTGCTTCCTCCCTTTTCTGGCCTCAATAATAGGATACTCATCCATGACGATCACACTAGAAGCCCGAAGCGACTGGGGAGGCTCATCCCACCGCTCTACGAAGCCGAATATATGGAGCTGAAGTGAAACAGCACCCCAGGC